AATTGTAGTAGCATTAGTTTAGCATTTCATCCCATCCTGTTTACTGAGGTCTTTCTGATTTCTACAGGCAGGTTTACCACTATAGTAGATTCAAACCCCGAAATGATGGCTTTTAGTTTTAGTGGCCATCCCAAGATTTTAAGTAGCCCCATCTGGCCCCACATTTCTTGAGGCACCACTGGTTTTAATCGGACCTTGTGTAACATTTGTTATTGTTTTGTCATTTTTATCATGGAAATGAAATGATCACATTCAATAATGTTTGATTTCTGAATCTCAATAAATTTGAAACAAATGCAAAGCTGTGAACTTTTTTCATGAACTTTACCTTTTATGAATGATTCATATAAACTATGTGCTCATAATCACTGAGCAAACAGCTAATTAACATTTCCCTATTGTTGATGTTACTTTGCTGTTCAGTTGGTAACAACAGCAAATGTCAGTTATGGTTCTGGGGCTATTAAAATGATCAAACATTTAGGGAATGATTTCAGTGGCTTTAATTTTTTTGTTAATTTTGAATTCAGCTACAAGCCGATGGCTTAAACTAAAGAAATATTTTATGATTATTTAACCCTTTATAGTTGTAAGTTTGCGTTTTTGATGACTTGCAGCAATAGATCTATATCCAGCCATCCAAATACACTGCTACATGGCTGTCATCTTATTTTGGCATTTGACCCATTAGATGAGCCCTTGAATGATAGATTACCTTCTTGAATTTAATTTGGAAAAAAGCTAACAAGAAAAAAAGGTAAAAGGCTAATTGAAAAAAAAAAAATGTAAGTGCCAGTTAGGGCTGCCACCCGTCACTTCAAAGACGGAATCGGCCTGTATTTGACAGTTAAATTACGCGTCCCGTATAGAACTGATAAGGGATGCTAGTTGTTCCGTATTTTCATGAATAACTAAAAAATCAGTAATTTCAGTGGCACTTAAGCACAGAACGACGCTACTGCTGCGAGCGTGACCCATGTCTGATTCTGTATCCCTTCGTCTTATAGCTAGCGCTTAGAGTTCTACTGTTCTTGATTCTCCTTCCCCCTATGATGTTGTCTGTCTAAAGCATTCTCCACTCGGTAATCTCTCTTCTTGGGGCATTTGTAAAGGTTTAGTTCTAGTTCTACAAACTGCTCACCTCCGCACACCAACTCAAAGCATCAATTGTAACATTATTCATTACAAGTGCATTCAAACAAATACGTAGCCTGCATAGCCATATTATTTCCTTTGTAGTACTGGAGCTGCTGTGCTGGTCTGAATATCCATATATCCATCATGATTCATGATCTTGGACAGTGGCTTTCAAACTGTGGGCTGGAGACCTTGGGGGGCCACAGCAGGTTGGCAGGAAAAGTACGGCACAACAAAGTGAGTCATTTAATAAACTGGGTAACTATCAACCAAAATAAACCATATTATAAGCCAATAATAAAAAAAACAACAATACAATACAGGTAATCTTCCCTATAGCCCAAAAACTCCTACCAGGCCAAGCACGGCATTGGTTTTGTGAGGGGATTTCTGTGAGCGATCATACTGTGTAAACTTAACATTTCCGTTTATCAATTATTTTAATTGGGTGTAGCTTATTTCAAGAAATACAAGTCACCCTCAAAGAACAAAACAAAAGTATAGTTCTGTGTTGAGCTGAAACGGGACACAATTTGGTTAAAATGCAGGAAATTGCATCTAAGAAATACAACATTTTCTGAGGGAGGACCACCAGACCCCCGTAACAATGAAGTTTCCAGGACCCCCACGTTCCTTATTTCCGTTTCTTAGAGGTGGTAACCCTAGTGCCAGTATAAACATTAATGCCTCTAAGGTTATGGGAGTGTTTTTCATGAATTTCTTATAGAAGCTCTTTTGTTTTTTGTTTTTTTTATATATCCGGGCAAGTCGGTGTTTCCCTGACCGCTGCGGACGGGCTAACATCAGCCCTGACCGCTGCAGATGGGATAACGTTAGCCCTGACCAATGCAGACGGGATATCGTTAGCCCTGACCGCTGCGGACAGGCTAACGTTAGCCCTGACCGCTGCGGACGGGCGAACATTAGCCCTGACCACTGCAGACGGGATATCGTTAGCCCTGACCGCTGCGGACGGGCGAACATTAGCCCTGACCACTGCAGACGGGCTAACATCAGCCCTGACCACTGCGGACGGGCTAACATCAGCCCTGACCGCTGCAGACGGGATATCGTTAGCCCTGACCGCTGCGGACGGGCGAACATTAGCCCTGACCACTGCAGACGGGCGAACATTAGCCCTGACCACTGCGGACGGGCTAACATCAGCCCTGACCGCTGCAGATGGGATAACGTTAGCCCTGACCAATGCAGACGGGATATCGTTAGCCCTGACCGCTGCGGACAGGCTAACGTTAGCCCTGACCGCTGCGGACGGGCGAACATTAGCCCTGACCACTGCAGACGGGATATCGTTAGCCCTGACCGCCGCGGACGGGCGAACATTAGCCCTGACCACTGCAGACGGGCTAACGTTAGCCCTGACCGCTGCGGACGGGCGAACATTAGCCCTGACCAATGCAGACGGGATATCGTTAGCCCTGACCGCTGCGGACGGGTTAACATCAGCCCTGGCCGCTGCAGACGGGATAACGTTAGCCCTGACCACTGCAGACGGGATATCGTTAGCCCTGACCTCTGCAGACAGGATAACGTTAGCCCTGACCAATGCAGACGGGATATCGTTAGCCCTGACCGCTGCGGACAGGCTAACGTTAGCCCTGACCGCTGCGGACGGGCGAACATTAGCCCTGACCACTGCAGACGGGATATCGTTAGCCCTGACCGCTGCGGACGGGCGAACATTAGCCCTGACCACTGCAGACGGGCTAACGTTAGCCCTGACCGCTGCGGACGGGCGAACATTAGCCCTGACCAATGCAGACGGGATATCGTTAGCCCTGACCGCTGCGGACGGGTTAACATCAGCCCTGGCCGCTGCAGACGGGATAACGTTAGCCCTGACCACTGCAGACGGGATATCGTTAGCCCTGACCGCTGCGGACGGGCTAACATCAGCCCTGACCGCCGCAGACGGGCTAACGTTAGCCCTGACCGCTGCGGACGGGCTAACGTTAGCCCTGACCGCTGCGGACGGGCTAACGTTAGCCCTGACCACTGCAGACGGGATAACATTAGCCCTGACCGCTGCGGACGGGCGAACATTAGCCCCGACCGCTGCAGACAGGATAACGTTAGCCCTGACCGCTGCGGACGGGCTAACGTTAGCCCTGACCACTGCAGACGGGCTAACATCAGCCCTGACCACTGCAGACGGGATAACTTTAGCCCTGAATGCTGCGGACGGGCTAACATCAGCCCTGTCCGCTGCAGATGGGCTAACGTCAGCCCTGACCACTTCATACAGGATAACGTTAGCGCTGCGGACGGGCTAACATTAGCCCTGACAGCTGCGGACAGGATAACATTAGCCCTGACCTAAGAAAAATGTATAAGAATAACATGATAGGGAAGAGTTAAAATATAAACAATAAAATCCTGTAAAGTGTTTTAACAATATAAAACTGGAGAATAAATAACCAATATGCAGCTATGGACATTTTTACAGTAATGGATATTTGAAAATAGCAGCAACATCAGAGATGTGCAGAATGACAGCAGCAGGTTATTTAACTGACTAAGGTTTCTATCATTACATTTGATTTGATCTCTTCCTGCTCCCGGTGGTTGGAACCTTTATTCCACTCTGGATTCTCATCAGTCTTTGTTCACTTTACAAGAAAAAAGTTTTTTAAAAATTTACGTTTTCATTCTTTTCCTTCTTTGTGTTTCAACTTTCACGGTTGCTAGCAACATAGTCTACGGCGGTAAAACCTGCCGAAGGGTAGACCTGTTTGAATTCACAGCTAAAACACTTCTGTTCTCTTTATTTTCACGGACTTCGAAGGATCCAGTCTGCAGCCCATGAATTCGAACACAGCCTCTGTCTGCTGTTCTAGTGAACTGGAACAGTGCCAGGGCTGAGGATGATGACGACCTGAGTACAGTTGGATAAGCGGCCTTAGGTTTGGGCACACAGGAATAAACTGCACTTTATTCCCAATAGGTAAACATAACAGTGGTAGGTGTGAATACTGTGAGCAAAAAGAGACAATCCAACATGTTATGGTTCACTGTAAGAAATAGGAAAGAAAAAGGAGAGAAATGCTTCAAAATCATAAAAAGGAAAGAATACATTTTGATTTAATAGAAATCCTTAGAAAGAACTCAATAGACCAGTGTTATGTAATTGTTTTGCATTAGCTTAGATTAATCAATGTAATTGAGAGGATTTTAGTCTAATTTTGATTTGGTTTATTTTGTTTTGTTTTGTTCAGTACAAGTAGTAGCCATTCAGATTCACACCAGGTGGTGGCGCTAATGCGCCATTTCGTTTCCTGCCAACCTCCAATAATATCCCTTAAAGAAGAAGAAGCAGAAGAAACGTACAGGGATATATTAATAAATCAACAAAAACAAATCAAATAGCAGTATCTTTAATAATACCAGAATTAAATGTTAAAATTAAGAAAAGAATAAGTGATGGACTTTCAGTTTATACAGAAGAAATGATTAAAATTTTATTAGACATGAGAAGAACAACAAGAGAAGAAACATTTATTTCTCGATTGACATTTAGTCACATTGGATTAAACAGAACTCTGTTCATCTCAGGGAACCATAGGGATGGTAAATGGGAATATTGTGGGAAAGATGTCATGTTTTACTGTAATAAATATGAGGAGAGACATCAATTCATTCAAAATTTAAGGAAAGTGAAAGTTAAATTAGATTTATTTGAAATATTAAGCAGTCATTCAGACACTAACATTTACAGAATAATATTAGGATATCTGAAAATAACACATTTGTAAAATAGAATTCAGTTCTATGGAGTCATTCCGATTCACACTCCATTCCAGTAGGTGGCGGAAATGCATCAATCTGTTGTTTGCCAACCGCCAAAAATTTAAAGAAGAAGAAGAAGAAGAAACACAGGAAACGTCGTTTCCGGGGCAGCAGCAGCTCTGCAGGAGTTTCTCTATTCCTCTGAACCATCGGTTCGGGTCGGTCCATCTCTAACCGAACCCTACCGCCTCCAGAACCGCAGGCGTCCCGGTTCCGTGGCTCCCGCTGCCTCCCAGCCGGCTGGAAGCTCCATGGAGGCTAGAAGGTGAGCAGATGGAAAGATGGCGGCCGAGAAAGTAGGAGAAATGTTGGCTTTGTTCCTTTAAATGATCTGATTCACTGGAAGAAGCTGATCCAGGTTCTAACGGCTAAACCAGGCTTTAGCTTCAAAGTTTGGGATTTTAATGGACGGCTGGAAAAACTGCCGAGCTACATTAGCCTAGCCTAGCCTAGCTTAGCTTATCTAGGTCAGTGTAAACAACAAGAACAGGAGCGAACTAAACAGTGGCTGTGTTCGAATCGAAGGGCTGCATCCTCCAAAGGACCCGGTCTACCTGGACTGGATCCTTCCAGGTCCGTGACAATAAGGAGAGGAAGAGTTTTGGCTGTGGATTCAAACGGCACGCTCTGTCGCTTAGCAACCGTGACAGGTGACAAACAAAGCAGGAAAAGAAAACTACCGTTACTGAACTTTTCAAAACTGTTTTTTTATTTTATTATTATAAAGTGAACAAAGACTGATGAGAATCCAGAGTGGAATAAAGGTTCCAACCAGCGGGAGCAGGAAGAGATCAAATCAAATGTAATGATAGAAACCTTAGTCAGTTAAATAACCTGCTGCTGTCATTCTGCACATCTCTGATGCTGCTGCTATTTTCAAATTACTGTAAAAATGTCCATAGCTGCATATTGGTTATTTATTCTCCAGTTTTATATTGTTAAAACACTTTACAGGATTTTATTGTTTATATTTGAACTCTTCCCTATTATGTTATTCTTATACATTTTTCTAAGGTCCACATGTGTGACCATTTCAATAATCTTTCTGCTGCTGTAAATTTGCCAATTGTGGGACAATAAAGGGATTTTCTATTCTATAAAAGCGGTAAAAAAGATATAAGTAAATCTAAACAATTTATGTATAAAAAAAATCTAGGGATGCACGATATTGGGATTTTGGCCGATATCCGATATGCCGATATTTTAAAACTCATGTAGCCGATAACCGATATCGATACCGATGTTAAAGCTGGACAAAAATAAGTAGTCATTGAAAATAGCAGTTTTGTTATCCATTTCTGACACTTTGAACAATAATAAACTCAAATATATTTTCATATGCTGATATCAAATAGATTTTTAAAAACGCGGTATCGATCTATTTTACTTCTAAAATCTGGTGAAATTTCATCGTTCTGTTACAAACTCTCGTGATATTTTGCAAATTCTTGTGAGATTTTGTTAGTAAAATAGATCGATACCGCGTCAATATATCAACATATAAAAATATGGCAACTTTTGGTGAATTTTCGGGGGATTTCGTAGCATAACGATGACATATAGCAATATTTCATTAGTAAAAGAGATTGATATGGTGTTTTTAAATGGCAATATATCAGCATATGAAGATATTGGGATATTTTAATGGATCAATATTTTTTCCCTCGTCTTTAGAAGTTTTTAAGTCTGTAAAAAAGAAGTTTTTGAGGAAGAAGAAGAAGTAGTATTTATTTATTTTTTTTTAGACTTTAGAAACTCAGAAGCTGATCAAATATCGGGTTAAATATCGGTGGGGTGGCCGATGTCCGATATTCAGTTTTAAGGCCGATACCGATAGGGGCCGATTATATCGTGCATCCCTAATAAAAATCTCTTATATTGAACAACCAAAAAATCTTAGTTAAGCATATTGTGCAAAACAGCAATAAAAAATTAAAATCCTATCAGATTTATAGTTCCCACCCTGCAGATCTATTAGAATCTGTCCTTAAATTCCAGCCAAACCCATTTACACAGTAACAGATAAAAACCTTTAGATAAATCAAACATTACCGCCACATATCTGACTCAATAACCATTAAAACAACTATTTTCATTCATTTCAGACGGAACTATTCACAGACTGGATTATATTAAACTGAACTTCCAATTTTCACCACTGTTCTGCGCCAAGTAACCTTTCCTCTGATCACGGCTTGCTTGGTCTCGCAATGAATCCTGGGTAAACCAAGAATACCGAGGATACATCGGACCCGTCCTTCAAATCGGGCAAAAAGAAGGATGCATTTTAAGGCCGCATAACGAGGACTCTTGGAATCCGACCAGGCGCCGCTCTATGATGTAATCGGCATTCAAATCTGGCCTTCTAAGAACGCAGCCCATGATAAAGTTAAACTCTAGTGAGGATTATAAGCTCAGATTAAAGTCCTGTGATGTTTAAAGCTTCCTCAGGCTGTTAATGGTTTCCTCTGCTTTAGAATAATGACTGTTATTCTAAGCTGATGAGGCTCCATGGATGCAGACCTGAAAGGACGCAGGTGAGATTAGAGCAGGATCTAAAGCTAAATATCTCAGATCATGATCAGAAGCATCTTAATCAGACGCCTCCTGCTGGAGAGACGCTGTATTCACACAGAGCCAGATTATTACGGTGGAGATTAAATCCCTGATGGATGGAGGATGTTCTGCTCTCATTCACTGACAGAGGAACCTTCAGTCTGATCATCTGCTGTTTCTAACAGGAAGCTGATCTGAAGAAGAGCTTCAGCTGAGGAACCAAAGAGGAGCTGGAGATTATAATCCAGGACAAGCATGAAGGAGAACCAGGAAGTAAAGATTGAGGTGAAGGAGGAGATCAGAGAGATGGAGATTGAGGAGGAGAACCACGAGATGAAGAAGCTAGAGGAGCGAATCTGCGAGGAAGTGAGGAAGTACCCGCATCTGTACGACTCTCGCTCTCCACACCACAAGGACAGCAAGTATTCCAGCAACGCATGGAGGGAGATAGCCAGGAATGTGGGTCTGGATACGGCCGAGGCGGTGAGGAGGTGGAAAAACGCACGCGACAAGTTTGTCCGACAGCGGAGGGACATGAGGGCCAAAAAGAACGGGAAAAGGGTCCCGGCCTTCTACCTCTTCATGTCCTGGCTGGAACCCTTCGTTAACCACCGACAAACTACCAGTTTCCCTTCAGAGGTAAACTTCATGTCATGTTGTGCTTAAACTAAAGTGCCTTTATTTGGACGGTGGAGATTTTACAGGGGAAGAACTTTATTGACATTAATCAAATGTTGCTCATGATAACCGACTTTTCCTGTTTCTATATTTCCTTCATTTTCACATAGTTTTTTCTTAGATAAAATGAAAATAAATATGGTTAAATTAACTTTGATCTCCCACAACGCAGTTTTATTCCATTATAAATAATGGAGATTGAGGAGGAGAAGCATGAGATGAAGAAGCTAGAGGAGCTGCGGACGGGCTGACGTCTGTCCTGGCCTCTGCCGCGGACAGACGTCTGTCCTGGCCTCTGCCGCGGACGGGCTGACGTCTGTCCTGGGGCTGACGTCTGTCCTGGCCTCTGCCGCGGACGGGCTGACGTCTGTCCTGGGGCTGACGTCTGTCCTGGCCTCTGCCGCGGACGGGCTGACGTCTGTCCTGGCCTCTGCCGCGGACGGGCTGACGTCTGTCCTGGCCTCTGCCGCGGACGGGCTGACGTCTGTCCTGGGGCTGACGTCTGTCCTGGCCTCTGCCGCGGACGGGCTGACGTCTGTCCTGGCCTCTGCCGCGGACGGGCTGACGTCTGTCCTGGCCTGTGCCGCGGACGGGCTGACGTCTGTCCTGGCCTCTGCCGCGGACGGGCTGACGTCTGTCCTGGCCTCTGCCGCGGACGGGCTGACGTCTGCCCTGGCCTCTGCCGCGGACGGGCTGACGTCTGTCCTGGGGCTGACGTCTGTCCTGGCCTCTGCCGCGGATGGGCCGCGGACGGGCTGACGTCTGCCCTGGCCTCTGCCGCAGACGGGCTAGCGTCTGCCCTGGCCTCTGCCGCGGACGGGCTGACGTCTGTCCTGGGGCTGACGTCTGTCCTGGCCTCTGCCGCGGACGGGCTGACGTCTGTCCTGGCCTCTGCCGCGGACGGGCTGACGTCTGTCCTGGCCTCTGCCGCGGACGGGCTGACGTCTGTCCTGGCCTCTGCCGCGGACGGGCTGACGTCTGTCCTGGCCTCTGCCGCGGACGGGCTGACGTCTGCCCTGGCCTCTGCCGCGGACGGGCTGACGTCTGTCCTGGGGCTGACGTCTGTCCTGGCCTCTGCCGCGGATGGGCCGCGGACGGGCTGACGTCTGCCCTGGCCTCTGCCGCAGACGGGCTAGCGTCTGCCCTGGCCTCTGCCGCGGACGGGCTAGCGTCTGCCCTGGCCTCTGCCGCAGACGGGCTAGCGTCTGCCCTGGCCTCTGCCGCGGACGGGCTGACGTCTGTCCTGGGGCTGACGTCTGTCCTGGCCTCTGCCGCGGACGGGCTGACGTCTGTCCTGGCCTCTGCCGCGGACGGGCTGACGTCTGTCCTGGCCTCTGCCGCGGACGGGCTGACGTCTGTCCTGGCCTCTGCCGCGGACGGGCTGACGTCTGTCCTGGCCTCTGCCGCGGACGGGCTGACGTCTGCCCTGGCCTCTGCCGCGGACGGGCTGACGTCTGTCCTGGGGCTGACGTCTGTCCTGGCCTCTGCCGCGGACGGGCCGCGGACGGGCTGACGTCTGCCCTGGCCTCTGCCGCAGACGGGCTAGCGTCTGCCCTGGCCTCTGCCGCGGACGGGCTAGCGTCTGCCCTGGCCTCTGCCGCAGACGGGCTAGCGTCTGCCCTGGCCTCTGCCGCGGACGGGCTGACGTCTGTCCTGGCCTCTGCCGCGGACGGGCTGACGTCTGTCCTGGCCTCTGCCGCGGACGGGCTGACGTCTGTCCTGGCCTCTGCCGCGGACGGGCTGACGTCTGTCCTGGCCTCTGCCGCGGACGGGCTGACGTCTGTCCTGGCCTCTGCCGCGGACGGGCTGACGTCTGTCCTGGCCTCTGCCGCGGACGGGCTGACGTCTGCCCTGGCCTCTGCCGCGGACGGGCTGACGTCTGTCCTGGGGCTGACGTCTGTCCTGGCCTCTGCCGCGGACGGGCCGCGGACGGGCTGACGTCTGCCCTGGCCTCTGCCGCAGACGGGCTAGCGTCTGCCCTGGCCTCTGCCGCGGACGGGCTAGCGTCTGCCCTGGCCTCTGCCGCAGACGGGCTGACGTCTGTCCTGGCCTCTGCCGCGGACGGGCTGACGTCTGTCCTGGCCTCTGCCGCGGACGGGCTGACGTCTGTCCTGGCCTCTGCCGCGGACGGGCTGACGTCTGTCCTGGCCTCTGCCGCGGACGGGCTGACGTCTGCCCTGGCCTCTGCCGCGGACGGGCTGACGTCTGTCCTGGTCTCTGCCGCGGACGGGCCGCTGACGGGCTGACGTCTGCCCTGGCCTCTGCCGCAGACGGGCTAGCGTCTGCCCTGGCCGCTGCCGCGGACGGGCTGACGTCTGCCCTGGCCTCTGCCGCGGACGGGCTAACGTCTGCCCTGGCCTCTGCCGCGGACGGGCTGACGTCTGCCCTGGCCTCTGCCGCGGACGGGCTGACGTCGGCCCTGGCCGCTGCCGCGGACGGGCTGACGTCTGCCCTGTCCTCTGCCGCGGACGGGCTGACGTCTGCCCTGGCCTCTGCCGCGGACGGGCGTACGTCTGCCCTGGCCTCTGCCGCGGACGGGCTGACGTCTGCCCTGGCCTCTGCAACGGACGGGCTAGCGTCTGCCCTGGCCTCTGCCACGGACGGGCTAGCGTCTGCCCTGGCCTCTGCCGCGGACGGGCTGACGTCTGCCCTGGCCTCTGCCGCGGACGGGCTGACGTCTGTCCTGGCCTCTGCCGCGGACGGGCTGACGTCTGCCCTGGCCTCTGCCGCGGACGGGCTGACGTCTGCCCTGGCCTCTGCCGCGGACGGGCTGACGTCTGCCCTGGCCTCTGCCGCGGACGGGCTGACGTCTGCCCTGGTCGCTGCCGCGGACGGGCTGACGTCTGCCCTGGCCTCTGCCGCGGACGGGCTGACGTCTGCCCTGGCCTCTGCCGCGGCTGACGGCCTGGACGTCTGCCCTGGCCTCTGCCGCGGACGGGCTGACGTCTGCCCTGGCCTCTGCCGCGGACGGGCTGACGTCTGCCCTGGCCTCTGCCGCGGACGGGCTGACGTCTGCCCTGGCCTCTGCCGCGGACGGGCTGACGTCTGCCCTGGCCTCTGCCGCGGACGGGCTGACGTCGGCCCTGGCCTCTGCCGCGGACGGGCTGACGTCTGCCCTGGCCTCTGCCGCGGACGGGCTGACGTCTGCCCTGGCCTCTGCCGCGGAAGGGCTGACGTCTGCCCTGGCCTCTGCCGCAGACGGGCTGACGTCTGCCCTGGTCGCTGCCGCGGACGGGCTGACGTCCGCCCTGGCCTCTGCCGCGGACGGGCTGACGTCCGCCCTGGCCTCTGCCGCGGACGGGCTGACGTCCGCCCTGGCCTCTGCCGCGGCAGCCCTGGTCAGCCCTGGTCGCTGCCGCGGACGGGCTGACGTCAGCCCTGGTCGCTGCTGCGGACTTTACCAAAGGGCACGTCACTACATTTGTACTGTGGCGTTACCAAAGTGACTATGAAAGACATATATACTAAATGGTAGTTGTGCATTGGTGCACTGGAACATGATCTGAACAGAGACCAATTGTTGATTTGCTTTTTGTTTACAGACACAGACAACACAGGATACAGATCACAGCTCTGATCCCAGCTGTGATCTGAGCTCCGATACGACTCCTGAGCCCAGCTCTGAGCCACCTTCACCCGCCTGCAACCTGGACAGCCTGTATGCCTCCCAGCCGTCCACCCCTGTCCCCGTGTCCTCTACATGTGTGCGCGCTGCCGCCAACAGTTCCGCCTCAGCTGCTCCCTGCAACTCCTCCACCAGCCGGCCCCCTGCGTCACCCGATCCCTCCGTGAGACCAGCCCCCAAGCGAGCGACAGCCAGCCAGACCAAGCGCAAGCGCACGCGCACCGATGACCTGGACATTCAGGCACACCTGGAGCAACTGGCTGAAAGTCGGCAGATGCTTCATCGCAGTCTGCAGCAGGATGACTGCTCATCCTTTGGGATTTTCATGGCGGACTTGCTGAGGAAGGTACCGGTGGACAGTAGGGACATTGTTACCAGGAATACCATCAACTACATGTATGACCAGATGGATCGGGTGCGGGCAGCGGCGCAGACCCTGAACTGACTGTTATAGACTCTGATAATAATGATTCATTGTCCAATACTGTCTGTTGTTGCATTGCATTGAATATGTATCATATCTACCATAGTCTGGATGTACAGAGCCACGGTTTTAACACTAAATATGTTTTTTTTATTGGCTTGCCGTCTCGTCTGTGTGAGTGAGTTAGATGTGCAGCACCGCACACACCTTCACCATATCCTCAGCTGTGTTGGGGGGTGGGGGAAACTCAACTGGCCGTCCGAAGATCCCACACCGTAAAACTATGGTGATGCCCCGGTGATGCCATGGTAATGCCATGGGGATGACATGGGGATGCCCCGGTGATGCCATGGTAATGCCATGGGGATGCCATGGGGATGCCATGGTGATGCCATGGGGATGCCATGGTGATGCCATGGGGATGCCATGGTGATGCCCCGGTGATGCCCCGGTGATGCCATGGGGATGCCATGGGGATGCCATGGTGATGCCATGGGGATGCCATGGTTATGCCATGGGGATGCCATGGGGATGCCATGGTGATGCCCCGGTGATGCCATGGTAATGCCATGGGGATGCCATGGTGATGCCCCGGTGATGCCATGGTAATGCCATGGGGATGCCATGGTGATGCCATGGGGATGCCATGGTGATGCCATGGGGATGCCATGGTTATGCCATGGGGATGCCATGGTTATGCCATGGGGATGCCATGGTGATGCCATGGGGATGCCATGGGAATGCCATGGTGATGCCATGGTTATGCCATGGTGATGCCATGGTGATGCCCCGGTGATGCCATGGGGATGCCATGGGGATGCCATGGTGATGCCATGGTTATGCCATGGGAATGCCATGGTGATGCCATGGTGATGCCCCGGTGATGCCATGGGGATGCCATGGTGATGCCATGGGAATGCCATGGTGATGCCATGGGAATGCCATGGATGCCATGGTTATGCCATGGGGATGCCCCGGTGATGCCATGGAGATGCCATGGTGATGCCATGGGGATGCCATGGTGATGCCATGGGGATGACACGGGGATGCCATGGTGATGCCATGGTTATGCCATGGGGATGCCCCGGTGATGCCATGGGGATGCCCCGGTGATGCCATGGAGATGCCATGGGAATGCCATGGATGCCATGGTTATGCCATGGTGATGCCATGGTGATGCCATGGGGATGCCCTGGTGATGCCATGGTGATGCCATGGTGATGCCATGGTGATGCCATGGTTATGCCATGGGGATGCCCCGGTGATGCCATGGTGATGCCATGGTGATGCCATGGGGATGCCCCGGTGATGCCATGGTGATGCCATGGGGATGCCCCGGTGATGCCATGGTGATGCCATGGTGATGCCATGGGGATGCCCCGGTGATGCCATGGAGATGCCATGGGGATGACACGGGGATGCCATGGTGATGACACGGGGATGCCATGGGGATGACACGGGGATGCCATGGTGATGACATGGGGATGACACGGGGATGCCATAGTGATGACATGGGGATGCCACGGTGATGCCACGGCAGAGATGGGGACTTGAGTTTGTGACTCGTACTTGAGTCGCACTTAAGTCGCATATTTAAAGGAATAGTACACCCAAAACATGATTAGCCTTCATTGCACATGCGCGCTCACGACGCTACGGAAGCCGGCAGACCAAACCAGATGAAAGTGCGCATTCAGCTCGGCAAAGAACTCATGCTCTTCCTCAACACTGAAGTCCTCAGACATTTTTCTTTCGTTGTTTCTTTCTTTGCACAGGTAAACAGCACATTTCTTCTTCTACACTTGCATTATCGGCAGAGCAGACGCTGAATGCGCACTTTCATCTGGTTTGGTCTGCCGGCTTCCGTAGCGTCGTGAGCGCGCATGTGCGCGCTTTCAGGAAATCCTATACACTACTGTTTATGCTCTAAAAACATTCTAAATGACTTTGTTTCGAGTAAATTCTGGATGCTACCCACTCAGGACACTTGGAATACATTGGACGAGCAGTATGGAGGAATATTGACATGTTTTTTGTGGACTTTTATGGACCTTTCTGCCTCGGGCGCCATAGACCTCCATTATTTGAATGTCAGCAGACAGCAAGAAGCCTCCCAGATCTCCAGATGCATTTGAGATATCAAAAAAGTACTCCAGAGTGTTGTTCAGCATGGGGGTGAGTAGAAAATGAAGGCTAATCATGTTTTGGGTGTACTATTCCTTTAATGACTTCAGACTCGACTGAGACTCGTGATTTCCGACTTGTAAACAATATTTTATTCCAGTGTAAAAACACTTATTCAAGTGTTTTTTGTTTTACTAACTTGACTGATCACCGCTCGCCTTACCCGCACACAGAAGAGGTAAAAAAAAAAAAAAAAAGCAGCACTTGTGGCCAGTATGGCCCCACACTCAGTCTTTGACACAAGGGGGAGCAAACAACTCAAAGACCCAAACCGTGAAGCACTCAAGTTCAAGTGTTTTATTTAGACAAAAAGCCACAGCAAAAGTGGCATAATAAAACAGTCCTTTTCTTCTCCTGATAAAACCTAAAATTTAAGAGTTTTCCTTAAAAATCACAGGCTGGAAGTTGGGCTCCGCTTGTTATGCTGCTTCTGGTGCGAGTGATCGGCCTGGAGGACCCACTGACTGATCCACTCCCTGGCGTGCCACACCCTTTCCAGGCCGATCCAGCTAAAAAGAGAAGCAAGGACAACGCCAGCATCCACGCGCCAAAACCCCGTCGGAAGATATAGTCCTGTTCATGCTTTAAGCGAGGGGGAGCGCTACTTACAGGCGAGGTTCCTCCTCTGCCCTAATGCTCCTTACTGGGCCATCTGTGCGCCCTCCTGGCGCACGGATCCCGCCTGCCTCTCCCCTGGCAGCGCGTCCGTCTCTGTCACCTGGAGATTCCGTTCTCCTATCCTTCAGAGTTCTTTTATGTCGGCTTTAATCAGCCCTTGCTCACACCTGAGCGCAGCAATTACGCAGCGCAATTAATGCACTCCGCCTCCTCAGACAACTACTTCAGTCCAGTGCGCATGGATTGTCACAAGGGAAAAACAAACCAAAACAACCCAACATGCAGGAAAAATTCAAAAGTTTAAAATAAAGGAAAACAATCATATAAAAAAGAAACATCAAAACATGCAAAGCTCAAGAAGAAAATACAAAGAAAAACAAATCATATCTTCCTCTCCAAACATGCAAAGCATAAAACATTTAAATGAAAGAAAACCATAAATCATATTTTCCCTGTGCAACACACTGACGTCACTGATGCAACAGTACGTGAAATATATGCCCGTGCACATGCATGCATGCAACCCATACAGGTATGGAAGCGATGATTAACCCCCCCCCCCCCCCCCCCCCCCCCCCCCCCCTGTTTCGGTGCCACCGTTCATAATAACCTTTGGCTACAAAAACTTTACATAAGGCGGGAATAAAAGAGCAGCAAACTGCAGCTTCTTTAGAAAAAAATCCACAATGCTTGGTCCACCACGTCTAATTTTATCAGCCGCAGTGCAGTGCAGGTGTACAGCCAGGGACATCACAGACATAAGGCAATAATTCAGGACCTTATTATTTCATGCAACCTCCCCTTGTCTTTGATCGACAAGCCCAGCTTTAAAAGCTTCATGGCAGTGGTAGAGGAGAAATATGTTGTGAATAATGTTGTGCGATTAATTGATTATTGCGACAGCCCTTCTCGAGACTTGAGACTTGACTTGGACTTGCAAAAAATGACTTGTGAACATGTCTGCTCCATACACATCTACTGTTTTTAAAGGCTCAGGATCCCCCTGTGCTCCAGCACCTCAGATAAAGAACAGCCCCTGCAGACTCTCCCCCTGCCCCGCTGATGAGGTAGTTGTATCTGATTGGGACCCTCCCTGAACCAATGGTTGGGTGATCCAAAATTCCAGCATTCCTCATCTGTTTTTACTGGTCTGGGCTGAAAGCCCCCACAGCCCCTAGGACCGCCCCTGCTTCCTCGGAAACCTCCTTGAGGCCTCCGATGGGGTCCGCTGGCTTGGAAAGAAAGTATTTCTCCTGGTTCACACATAGAATTGGACCAGAACATTTGAGCCCCCCCCCCTCCAGACACACCACCTTCCCTTTTAGCATGTTTTTCAGCGCGGCGCGCATATTGCATCACTGTGCTTACATTAGACGTTGCCAGTGTGATTAAATGTTCTTTAACCCACACTGAGATATGTGGCTGGAAACCTCCCATTAAAATATGTTCTAGTTGCTGCTGGTATGATGTTTCATCTCCATCAGCGTATGGCGTACCACTGTAAAATCTATTTTATTTTTCAAAACGTACATTGAACTCATACATGTTTTCTTTTTTTTTATTTTATGGACCCTAAATATCTCTAATCCGCCCTCCTGTAGAAAACTTCTAGGCTGCGTCTGGTCTGTAGATAAAGGAAGATCTGATTTACTCAGTTCATCCAAGTCTGGATACAAATTGGTCAATTAGCCTTGGGGGGGTTAAGGGATTATATGGCGGTGGGCTATTTTTCAGTAGCTACCGTAGTTTGCATGACTAAAGTAGTTTTCTGGCTTTTGAACCCAATAATGTTGTAGACCAAGCAGGCTCTGGAGGAAGGCTGGCTGCACTGACCGCCCCCCCCCCCCTCGCTCCTGCAGATTGTGCGAGGGGTTTCATCATCTTCTGGACACACAAACATAACTTTAAAGATGGACAAAATAACATGAAATCTATTTATTAAATTTTTTATAATAACTTCATATCTACTTTGCGCCTGTATTATACCAACACCTCGCTATTTGGAGCTCATTTATTTATTTATTTATCTATTCATTTTTTATTGATCTATTTTTGCATTAGTGCTTATTTCTAGCCGGCTAACAACGTTTCTCCATCGATCTATCTTCCAAACACCATCTATTTCATACCTTTGCTTCCACGTCTGCAAGTATTTTAAATAACTTGAATCAATCTGACACAAACTTTCCATCCCCTTTTGTCATAATGCTAACTCTTGGAATCGTAAGTAGGCACACGCACAGACAGAAGCAGATTTAAACAGTTTATTTTCAGGATAATGTGATGAACACTGAGTCTGGAAAAAGCTGAGGGAGCGGGGGCTGGGAGCAGGCACTGGAAGGGGAAACAAGTTGT